CAGGGCCTTGTGTCTTAGCTGTAACATATACCAGGTCATTTCATACTGTTTCTGCACTTTGGAACACTTGTTCAAGGAGGTGCTTTCGGATGAAAAATGTCTCCCTGGTTAGAAGCCAGAGGAATAGCCTGAGAGATGTACATGACCCACTGCGATACTGCACTGGAATTCAGGCTCTGCTACTCGTAGAATGGAAATTTTGAAGGAGCATCATGCCAGACTCAAAATGTTAATTCTGTTTCTCTCTCCACAGACATTGCAAGACCCGCTGAGTTTCTCCAGCATTCTCTGTGTTTGTTTAACTCTCTCAGACTTTCTTTGATTTGTAGGTAAAGCTACAACTTTTATTCCAGTCAAATCGTTGCCCAGGAGTAAGTCAACTCCATCCACAATTAAAGTTGTGACAACTTCTGCAAAAACTGCTTCCGACTGCAAGTCACATTCAAATAGAACTTAGAACATAGAACAGTACAGCACAGTACAGTACAGCACAGTACATAGAACATAGAACAGTACAGCACAGTACAGTACAGCACAGTACATAGAACATAGAACAGTACAGCACAGTACAGGCCCTTCAGCCCACAATGTTGTGCCAACCTATTGTCCTACTCTAAGATCAAACTACCCTGCATTTTACAATCATCCATGTGCCTATCCAAGAGTCGCTTAAATGTCCCTGATGTATTTGACTCCACTACCACTGCTGGCAGCGCATTCCACTGTGTGCAAAGAACATACCTCTGACATCTCCCCTCTACCTTCCTCCAATCACCTTAAAATTATGTCTCCTCGTAATAGTCATTTCTGCCCTGGGAAAAAGTCTCTGGCTATCCACTCTATCTATGCCACTCATCATCTTGTATACCTCTATCAAGTCACCTCTCAACCTTCTTCGCTCCAAGAGAAAAGCCCTAACTCCCTTAACCTTTCCTCATAAGACCTGCCCTCCAGTCCAAGCAGCATCTCGGTAAATCTCCTCTGCACCCTCTCTAAAGCTTCCACATCCTTCCTATAATGAGGCGACCAGAACTGAACACAATATTCCAAGTGTGGTCTAACCAGGGTTTTATAGAGCTGCAGCATAACCTCACAGCTCTTAAACTCAATTCGCCTGCCATTGAAAACCAACACACCATACGCCTTATTAACGACTCTATCAACTTGGGTGGCAACTTTGAGGTATCTGTGGACATGGACCCCAAGATCCCTCTGTTCCTCCACAATGCCAAGAATCCTGTCATTAACCCTGTATTCTGCATTCAAATTTGACCTTCCAAAATGAATCACTTCACACTTTTCTGGGGTGAATGCCATCTGCCACTTCTTTGCCCAGTTCTGCATCCTGTCAATGTCCGGTTATAACCTACAACAGCCCTACACGCTATCCATAACTCCACCAACCTTCGTGTCATCGGCAAACTTACTAACCCACCCTTCCACTTCCTCATCTAAGTCATTTATAAAGATCACAAAGAGCAGAGGGTCCCAGAACAGATCCCTGTGGAACACCACTGGTCACCGAGCTCCAGGCTGAATACTTTCCTTCTACTACCACCCTCTGTCTTCAATTGGACAGCCAATTCTGTATCCAGACAGCCAAATTTCCCTGGATCCCATGCCTCCTTACTTTCTGAATAAGCCTACCATAGGGAACCTTATTGAATGCCTTGCTAAAATCTATATAAACTGCATTCACTGTTCTACCTTCAGCAATGTGTTTTGTCACATCCTCAAAGAATTCAATAAGTCTTCTGAGGCATGATCGGCCCCTCACAAAGCCATGCTGACTATTTCTAATCAAACTGTGCTTTTCCAAATAATCATAAATACTATCTCTCAGAATCCTCTCCAATAATTTACCCACCACAGAAGTAAGACTGACTGGTCTGTAATTCCCGGGATTATCCCTATTCCCTTTCTTGAACAAGGGAATGATATTTGCCACCCTCCAATCATCCGTACTATTCCAATGGACAGTGAGGATGCAAAGCTCATCACCAAAGGGGCAGCAATCTCTTCCTTCGCTTCCCGTAGTTACTTTGGGTATATCCCATCTGGTCCAGGGGACTTATCTATCCTCATGTTTTTCAAAATCTCTAGCTCATCCTCCTTTCTAACATCAACCTGTTTGAGCACATCAGCCTGTTTCACCCTGCCCTCACAAACTACAAGATCCCTCTGAAGCAAAGTATTCAATAAGGACCTCAATTTTACACTGCACCTTGGAACCGAGATACTCTCCAAATATTTACCAACACTTTGGCTTTATTGCACTCACTGGAGGCAAAAATATATCTTTTTTCAGTAAAAGAGTTTGAGTAACCAAGAACTCTTAAAAATCTCTATCATCTAGGATAAAGCAGCTGCTTTGTTGGCACCAGATTCACCATCTTCAATAATCTCTCCCTCCACCACCAATGCTCAGTAGCAACAGTGTGCACCTTCTACGATATGCACCGCAGAAATTCACCATGGTTTCTTAGATAGTATCTACCAAACTCTACCATCAAGAAGTACGAGGGCAGCAGATACATGGAAACAACATCCCCTGCAAGTTCCCCTCCAAGCCACTCACTACCTTGACTTTGAAATATATCGCCGTTTTTTCACTGTTGCTGAGTCAAAATCCTGGAACTCCCTCCTGAATAGCATTGGGTCTATTTACAGCACATGGGCTACATTGGTTCAAGAAGGCAGATCACCACCACCTCTCAAGGGTAACTAGGGATGGGCAATAAATGATGGCCCCAGCCAGTGATGCCCAAATTCCATAAAAAAGTTCTGGTTGTATTAGTCTAAACCATGAGATGACTGGACAGAGTTGATAGGGAGATATTGTTCTCTCTTGTGTAAGAATTGAAAATGAAGGGGCAGAGATTTAAAATAAATTGGCAAAAAAAGCAACTGGGACATGAGGAAAGACATGTGGATATAAAATTGACCAAGAGTAATGTTCAATTGATATATTTCAGGCTGGAGGAAGGTTTGTAGTGGAGTTCTCAGGGGGCGGTATTTGAAACCTTGCTTTTTCGATATTTATTAATGATCCGGATCTAGGCATGCAGGGAACAATTTCAAAGTTTGCAGCTGACACAAAACTTGGAAGAATTGTAAACTATGAAGAGGGCAGTGTGGAGCTCCAAAAGTGCATTAACAAGTTGGTGGAGTGGATGGATAGATGACAGATGAGATTCAATGCAGAGCAGTGTAAAGTGATGCACTTTGGTCAGAAGAACATTCAAAGACAATAGAAAATAGGGAGGACAATTCTAAAGGGGATGCAGGACTAGAGGGCCCTGGGTGTATATGTATACAGACCATTGTGGGTGGCAAGACATTGGGAAAGAGCAGTTAGAATCATAGAATCGTAGATTCCCTACAGTGTGGAAGCAGGCCATTTTGTCCATTGAGTCCACACCGTCTCTCCGAAGAGCATCCGACCCAGACCCCTACACTATCCCTGTAATGCTGCTTTTTCACATGGCTAATCTACCTAGCCTACACATCCCTAGACACTACGGGCAATTTAGCATGGCCAATCCACCTACACTGCACATCTTTGGACTGTAGGAGGAAACCAGAGCACCCAGAGGAAACCCACGCAGACACAGGGAGAATGTGCAAACTCCACACAAATAGTCACCTGAGGCTAGAATAGAAGCTGGGTCCCAGTGCTAACCACTGAGCCATTGTGCCACCCAGAGAATACAGACCCCTCAGCTTCATTAATAGGGGCATGCAGTACAAGGGCAAGGAGGTGATGCTGAACTTCTACAAAATACTTTTTAAGATCTCAGCTGGAGTATTGTGCACAGTTGTGGGCACCACATTATAGGAAGGAATGCATTGGAGAGATTGTGGAAGCAATGTACAAGAATGGCTCCAGGAATGGGGAATTTCAGTGATGAGAATAACTTGCAGATGTTGGGTTTGTTCTCCTTGGAGAGAAGAAGACTGAGAGGAGACCTGGTTGAGGCTTCCAAAATCAAGAATAGATAGGGAGAAGCTGTTCCCACCTGTGCACTTCTGCATCCTAACAACTTAGTGATTCTGTGAGCAACCTTTTTATGTCAAGTGTGACAGGAAAGTATACTGTAAATGGCAGGACCCTGAGCAGCATTGATATTTTGAAGGATCTCGGGATCCAAATCCACCGCTCCCTGAAAGTGGAAGCATAAGTGAATAAAGTGGTGAAGAAGGCATACTGACTGCTGCCTTCATTAGTTGAATAAATTAAGTATAAAAGTTGGCAAGTTGTGTTGAAGCTGTATAAGACTTTCATAAGGCCACATGTGGAGCATTGTGTAAGTTCCAGTCACCACACTATAGGAAGGATACAGAGGGTTTGGAGAGGGTGGAAAAGAGGATTACCAGAATGATGCCTGGATTGGAGTGTGTTAGCTATAAGGAGAGGGTGGACTAACTTGGATCATTTACTTGGATAGAAGTATATAAAATTCTGAGAGGTGTGGATAAGGTGGATAATCGATGTCTTTTCCTCAAGAGTGGAAGTGGCAAATGCTAAGGGATGTGTGTTTAAGTTGAGAGGCGCAACGTTTATGGAAATGTACGAGGCAAGTTTTTTACACAGAGGGTGGTAATGCCTGGAAGGTGCTGCCAGGGGAGGTGATAGAATCATATATATTAGCAATGTTTAAGAGGAACTTAAACAGGCATCTGACAAGGCAGGGAATAGGGGGATATTGAATATCGACTATATGCAGGCAGCTGGGATTAGTTTAGAATGACATCTTGCTGGCACAGAGGCAGTGAGAACTGCAGATGCCGGACATATTGTTGGCACAGATTTGTGGGCCAAAGGACCTGTTCCTGTGCTGTAGCATTCCATGTTCTAAATTACGCAGGTTGATGTATGTGAGGTTTTTAAACTCAAATCCTGAGGTTTTTACCTCAATTGGCAATGTAATCAATTTGTTCATGTTGTTGCTGTCTGTGCCAGCCTATTCTTCAGCTAGCTTCAGCCAGACCCTCGGTACCATGTCGCAGATTTATTGCCCACATGAATGCTTCGTCCAGCACTCTGCGGTCACCATGGGACCTCACGTCTAGAACCCAAACTCTCCAACCACCATCTTCGAACACAAAACCATCCACTTTCTCCAGGGACATCTGGAATACTGCAGGTAACCTGAGATTTGGCATCAGCACATGACTGGTTTTTTGGCACTTTTTTCAGACAACGCACTTGTTGCAAATGCAGTAGACTGACAGCCCACCTGATGTGAAAACACAGGTATCCCATCAAAACCTCAAGTCAAATATGCTTCTAAGCAACATTACCAAGTTTGTTTAGGATACAAGAGATATTCATCATTCTTAAGGGATTTAATAGCGGTGTAAGAATAAAAGCAGGAGTAGATGAAATAGCATCTTGAATCTGTTCCAACATTCAATATGATCATGGTTCATATTCTGCATCAGATTTACCTTTCTGCCTACTCTCTATATTCCTCAAATACCTGAGAGGCTCAAAAACCTACCTATCCTACTTTGAAATCTACTTAGCAATCTAGTACCCACAACCCCTTGGGGCAGAGAATTCCAATAGTTCACAACTTTTTGAATGAATACGTTTCTTGTCCTCCTAGCCCTGAATGATTGAGCCTTTTCCTGAAAATATAGTAATGAAAAGTATGTCATATATTGTTATAATTTTTAAAATTTTAGATTGTTTTAAAAAGAGAGGTGGATGGACATGGGTTGGCATGGTGAAGGGTTTCTTTAAAGGTCAAAGAGTCATTCTGGAACAGGGACCTAAATGAATTAGTTCCATGAAGGTAATCAATTGCCTGGCAGTGGTGTTAATGGTATAAAATATTTTTATGTTTGAGTTTATAAAAGGCAGAGTAAATAGAACAGAGTCATTAGTTTGATTTTGACTTTAATTTGGAAGAAAACATGAGTTTAGTTTAAAAGGGGACAAGTTTTTTCTCTTAAGAGTTTTTTCTAGTTCAATTCCATTCAGAGGAACCAGTGACTGCAACATCATTGTTTTTCTGGATGTGAAGTTCCCAAGCTAGGAGAGTTTGGGACAGGAGCTTCACATTGTTAGAACTGAAAAAAGATTCAGACCATCAGAATTAATGTAGATTCATGCAATCAGACTCAGAAAGGAATTGTAAACTGTCTCTATAGTCCAAGAAAAATGAACTAGAAGGAATCAGTTAGGTAGGAACTTCAAGAGTTGGGATAGGAGTAGAATTTCTCTGAACATAAGTCTCTTTAACAGATAGTCTCGGGGGAAAAGGTTGATAAATGGAAATTCCGGGGATGTTGGAAATCTGAAATTAAGGAAAAACAAAGTGCTGGAGAAACACAGCAGATCTGGCAGCATCTGTGGAAAGAGAGTTAACGTATAGCATGGAAACAGAGCCTTTGGTCCAACCAGTCCCTGTCCGACCATAATCCCATATTGAACTAGTCCCACCTGCCTGTTCCTGGCCCACATCTCTCCAAACATTTTTTTATTCATGTATTAATTCAAAAGTCTTTTAAACGTGGTAACTGTACCCACATCCATCACTTCCTCAGCAAGTTCATTCCATACGCTAAACACCCTCTCACCAGTGGGGAGGCAATGACCTAGTGGTATTATCGCTGGACTGTTAATCCAGAGACCCAGATAACATTCTGGGGACCTGGGTTCAAATCCCACAATGGTAGATGGTAGAATTTGAATTTGATAAGTATGTGAAATTAAGAGTCTAATGATGACTGTGAATCCATTGTTGATTGTCAGAAAAACCCATCTGGTTCACTAATGTCCTTTAGGGAAGGAAACTGCTATCCTTACCTGGTCTGGCCTACATGTGACTCCAGACCCACAGCAATTTTTAAAAAATTCATCCATGGGATGAGGGCGTCATTGCCAGTTAAGAGCCAACCAAAGGGGAGGCAATGGCCTAGTGGTATTATCGCTGGACTGCCAGGAAACTGCCATCCTTACCTGGTCTGATCTACATGTGACTCCAGACCCACAACAATGTGGTTGACTCTGAACTGCCCCCTGGGCAATTAAGGATGGGCAATAAATGCTGCCTAGCCAGCAATGCCCTCATCCCATGAATGAATGAGAAAAAAGGCTCCCTAGTCTTGAAATCCCCCATCCAAGGGAAAGGACAACTGCCATTAACTTTATCTATACCCTTCATTATTTTAAAAACTTCTATAAGGTCTCCTCTCAACTTCATACCCTCCAGTGAAAAAAGTCTCAGCCTATCCAGCCTTTCCTCATAACTCAAAGTTTCCATACTCGGCAACATCCTGGTAAATCTCTTCTGAACCCCATCTGGCTTGATAATATCCTTGATGTGATTTGATTTGTTATTGTCATATGTAGTGAGATACACTGAAAAATATTAACTGCCCCATGGGCAATAAATGCTTGTCTTGCCAGCAATGTCCATATCCTATGAATGAAACAGATCTGGCAGCATCTGTGGAGAACAAAACAGACTTAGCATTTCAAGTCCAGTGCACGCGTTAGTGGACTGGGGACAGTAAGGAGTGTAGATGCTGGAAGCCAGGGTCTATAGGGTGTGAGGCTGGAAAAGCACAGCAGGTCACACAGCATCAGAGGGGCAGGAAAGTCAACGTTTTGGACCGAAACCCTTTGTTAGGACTGGGGAAGGGTGGGGGGTTGTAGGGGAGCCCAGAAATAATCAGAGGGAGGTAGTGGTGAGTCAGTTTCCAGAGATGGATATGGAGAGGTCCAGGAAGGGGAGGGAGGTGTCAGAAATAGTCCAGGTGAGTTTGAGGGCAGGGTGGAAGGTGTGGCGAAGCTGATAAATTGCTCAAGCTTTTTGCAGGAGCTTAAGGCTGCACAAATGCAGTCGTCAATATAGCAGAGAAAGAGGTGAGGGATGGTGCTGGTCTAGTTGTGGAAGAGGGATTGTTCCATGAATCCTACGAAGAGGCAGGCACAGCTTGAGCCCAAGTGGGTGCCCATGGCCTCCCCTTTGGTTTGTAGAAGATGGGAGGAATCGAAGGAAAAATTGTTTAAAGCGAAGACCAGTTCAGCCAAGCGTCAGTGGAGGGGGATTGGTTGGGCCTATGGGACAGGAAGAAGTGGAGGGCTTTCAGGTCCTCCGTGTGGGGGAAACAGGTGTACAGGGACTGTCCATCCATGGTGAAGGTGAGGTGTTGGGTGTTGGGAATTGAAAGTTTTGGAAAAGGTGGAGGATGTGGTTGTGTCACCTCTGACCTCCATCCAAGGCTCCAAACAATCCTTCCAGATCTGGCAGAGACCAAACGCAGATTCGGGGCCCATTTGGCAGCACATCTGCAACAACCAACCCGACCTTCCGGTTGCCATCTGTTTTAATTCCCCCTCCCACTCCCCTGGTGACATGTCCATCCTTGGCCTCCTCCACTGTCAGTATGAGGCCAAACGTAAACTGGAGGAACAACACCTTACATTTCGCCTTGGGAGCTTACAGCCCAATGGCCTGAATATTGACTTCACCAGCTTTAACACCCCTCCACTCCAGCATTATCCCATGCCCATCCCTCCCCCTCCCTGACCTGACCTAACCTGTCCATCTTCCTACCCACCTATCATTCCCACCCTTCTCACTGACCAATCATTATAACCCCCTACCTGCATCCACTTCTCACCGTCTCTTCTATCCTTGCCCCAGCCCCACCTCCTCCCTCTATTTATTTCTGGGCTCCCCTCCCCCTCCACAGCCCTAACAAGGGGTTTTGGCCCAAGACGTTGACTTTCCTGCTCCTCTGATGCTGTCTGACCTGCTGTGCTTTTCCAGCCTCATACCTTTAGGCATGGATTAGTGGGTTCAATTGAAGAATATTTTCAAAGAGCTGGCATGGGCATGGTGGCTTGAATGGGCTCCAATCTTTCTCTATGATTCAGTCATAATTAACAATCATAAAGCAAATCCTATTTATTAAACTGGTAAATAACATGCACACCACAGGAATCTTGATCAGACAATGAATTGCTGCATACCCTTCAAACTGACTAGTTGCATTAGTGGGGCTTGTTGTGGATTGCATGGGTGTTTTATCAGTTGGCATTCATCATAACCGGGAGCTGGAATTGCCTGAACATTACCGCAGTTTTAAAACTAATTACTCCCCATATGGTAACTGGTGTAGCTACAGCTTTGGCCAAAGAAAAGGGCTGGCTATTTTCAGCTGGTTTACAAAGCTACAACTCTCTTGACACATGCTATTCTCATGCTGTGTGAATAACAGATGGGACAAGACTGGGAATTAAACAGGATCCCTGCATAAGTCTGCACTGAGCATCATCTCTTTATGCTTCAGAATGACTGTCCTCACATGACATATGGAAATTCCAGGCAGGGGGTGGTGTTGGGGGTGTGAGGTTTCTGGATTCTTTCAGAAAAGACTGAGCACTATTTCAGCTGCTGCATTTATTTATCAAAGGGATTGAGGCTCTGGAGAAATGTAGAGTCAGGGGGAAGTGGGGGCTGTGAAATGGAGACTGTTGGTCCGCCTTTTATCAGCAAAACTCAGATTGTTGTTTCTTGGAGAGTTTGCTGGGAGGAGTGTGGCACTGTGGATATGACACCAGACATATTTTACCCTCTTACATTGTCACAGAAAACAGAAGTAACCTTTGTCAGAATGAAGTGAGATCTGAATATCAGCAAGATCATGATCATGTCAAAATATCGTGGGTTCTAAAGCTTGTTTGGCAATCAGATTAGAAGTTTTTGCTGAGATGGAGTTATTTTTCTGTCTTCTTCTGCTGCCCTTGGTTTGGTTTTCATTTCAGAATATCTGGTCAATGTGTCTTGGTGATGACCCTTGCCCCAGACCATTGTGTTACCTTTGGAGGACCCCCTCATTGCGCCCTCCCAACAAGACACATCATTCACAGAGGCCAGGATGGCAATATGCCAACCGTAACATTCAAGAAGGTATTGGATGATCATTTGGATTGCAGCAGTGAGTAGGGAATTCAGAAAAGGGATGAGATTGACACTTGGTAATGAAATCTGTGCCGGCATGATGGGCCAAATAGCCCCTTCTGCAATGAAAAAGTTCTATGAGCACCACCCCACAATCCACTCATTCAGAATAGAAAACTATTTCTGATTGGAGGCAGGAAGTGTCTCACA